CGCCGCGGCGCCGGCGCCGGCAGCGCCACCGTCGTGCGGCGTCGCGTGCGTGCGCTCGCCGTGCCTGCGTCGCTGCGCCGACGTGCGCGTCTTCATGACGCTCTTCTGCGTCGCGTTTCTCGTCGACGCCGTCGCCGACGCCTACGTCATCGGCTGCCTGACGACGATCGAGCGACGTTTCCAGTTCGCGAGCAAGTACAGCGGCCTGCTGCTGAGCAGCAGCACCATCGCGCAGATGCTCTCCGTGCTCGCGGGCAGCTACCTGGGCCGGCGGCGGCAGCCGGCCTTCCTCGCTATCGGCACTCTACTCTCCGCCGCCGGCCGCCTGCTCCTCGCCACGCCACACTTCGTCTACGGTGCGGGCGCGACCGCAGGGGGGCGCGACGGAAACGCGAGCGAGTACGAGATGTGCTTGGCAGGGAGGGAGGAGGAGGAGGCGGCGGAGACGGAGTGCTCGAGCGCTAACCAGGTGGCGTACGCGGTGATGGTGGCTGGCATGGTGCTGAGCGGCGCAGGCGGCTCGTGTCTGTTCTCGCTCGGCACGTCGTACGTCGATGACAACCTGGTGAACCCGCGAGCGGCGCCGCTCTATCTCAGTGAGTGCTCACGCTTGCTTTCTCGTCGTCAATGGCTTCTTCTTCTTCTTCTTCTTCTTTTTCTTCTTTTTCTTCTTTTTCTTTTTCTCTTCTTCTTTTTCTTCTTCTTCTTTTACTTAATTCTTCTTCTTCTTCTTCTTCTTCTTCTTCTTTTTCTCTTTCTTTTTTCTTTTTCTTTTTCTTCTTCTTCCTCTTTATTTTCGTGTTCGTGTTTGTCTTCTTCTTCCTCCTCCTTCCTTCTCCTCTTCCTCCTCCCCCTCCTTCTCCTCCTGCTCCTCCTCTTTCTTCTCCTCCTTCTCATCATCTTCTTCTTTTTCCACCGCTTCTTCTTCTCTTTTTTATTCTGCGTTTCGATCGCGCTCATAATGTCATTGCAGCTTTTCAGAGACCACTGTCGCCGTTTTTTCCTGGTCCTAGCCGCAATATATCTTGTATAATACAACTGTATAGCTAGTAAGTACGCCCTAA